ACCAAGGCCGTCTCGGTACCATGCCCCGGCCTAAAGCCAGACTGTGCCGGATCTAGATAATCCGTGTCTACCAAGAATGCCTGGAGTTGTGAGGCCACCACACGTTCCATGACTTTGCCCAAAAAGGGGAGATTGGAAACAGGCCGATAGTTGACGAATTGAGTGGGGTCCAGTGATGGTTTCTTCAACAGCGGTTTTATCACAGCTTGCTTTAAGCTGGCTGGAATTTTGCCCTCCCGAAGGCAGGCATTAACCACCACCTTCACCCACTCGGCCAATCCCCCTCTGGCCTCCTTCAGAAGCCAGGATGGGCAGGGGTCTAGGATGCATGTGGTAGCTCTCATTCCTCCAAGCACCTTGTCCACATCCTCGGATTGAACCAATTGAAATGAATCCATCAAAACCGGACAAGCAGATGCTCGTGTTACATCCTCTGAGACTGCCGTTAATATGGTATCCAGTCCAGAGCGGATCAAAGCGACTTTGTCTGCAAAGAACTGAGCAAAGGCTTCACAGCGAGCTGCCGAGTCATCAGGGCACCCATCCTGGGTGGTGGGTTTTAACAGGCCTCTGACAACTCGGAACAGTTCAGCCGGACGGTTCTTTGCAGACGCAATAGTGGCCGCAAAGAAAGTCTTATTTGCGGCTTTTATTGCCGCGGCATATGCCCTTAAAAAGGACACAAACCGTGTTCGATTTGGCTCGCTCGGATCCGAACGCCACACGCTCTCTAGTTCCCTCTTCTTTCGCTTCAACGCTGCCAGCTCCTCGGTAAACCAAGGAGCTGGTTTAGCTCGGCTACTTGAGAGGGGACGTTCTGGAGCGATCGTGTCTATTGCCCTAGTCATTTCCCCATTCCAGAGAGCGACCAGGGCATCAACAGGATCACCAACCGAGGTGGCGGGAAATTCCCCAAGAGCCGTCAGGAATCCATCCGGATCCATAAGCCTCCTGGGGCGGACCAGTTTAATAGGTCCTCCACCTCTGCGGAGGTTAGGGGGTGCAGTGAGTCTAAAGCTGACCAGGTGGTGGTCGGTCCATGGCAACGGAGAGATGGATACCTCCTCAACACCGCCACCTTCCTCCCATCCCTGGCAGAAAACCAAGTCCAATGTATGTCCAGCACTGTGGGTGGGGCCAGATACCTGTTGGGACAGCCCCATGGTTGCCATGGTAGACATGAAGTCCTGAGCCGCTCCCGATAAGGCGGCCTCGGCATGGACATTGAAGTCCCCCAGCACAAGCAGCCGTTGGGACTCCAATGCCAGGTCCGAGACCATCCCCGCTAGCTCAGGCAGGGAGACTGTAGTGCAGCGAGGTGGACGGTACACTAACAGAATCCTTAATCTGTCCCGGTCACCCACCCTCAGGTGGACACATTCGAAATTTGTTGACTGCGGGATGGGGGCCCTGGTCAGAAGAATGGAATCTCTATAGACCACTGCAACCCCGCCTCCCCGCCCTCCGGATCTCGGTTGGTGCTGCACAGAGAAGCCTGGTGGACAAAGCTGGGTCAAATTTACACCTCCCGCTTCGTCCAACCAGGTCTCTGTGATGCACGCCAGATCTGCCCGTTCATCCAGGATTAAATCCTGGATGAAAGTTGTTTTACCATTGACAGATCTGGCGTTCAACAGCACCACTTTCAATTCGGAGGGACCGCCATTCTGGTTACACCAACTTACCATATCAGGAGACCGATTTGGAATTATTAAGGTTGTTCCACGTTCCCTAGGCCGAATTAAAGGTCTCCCTTTCCCGTATCTCCCCCTCCCCACCACGACTTCTATGGGGGCTCCCCGGTTAACGGAAGCCTCTCCCTCCTCCATGACGCATTCAGCAGCCATAGTATCAACCCATAGTTCATTGTTGACTGTTTGATATGTTACAGCTTCAAATTGCCACAGTCTTGCCTTCCGTTCATTTCCCACTCTTGTTATGTACTCGGGTCTTTCTAATCTACTCCGTTCCCTCTCTCTACCATAAGCAATTAGCAGCAAGATTACCAAACGCCAGGGAATGGGTAGTGACATGGATGGTAGCTGTTAAACACTGTCAAGGAGTTTCACTAAGGTTCTTGAAGTACAGATAGATAATTGTGTCAACATACACGATGGTATAAATAATTAAAGTGCAATAACTTTGTCAATTGGCTCTAAAGTGCTAAAATGAGTGCGTCATGGAGGACTTAAATTCAGCGCTAGATGGTTGAATCGATTAAAGTGCTAAGGCTCAGTAAAGTTAATGGGCCACAAAGGTAATAATTTAAGGTGCTGATAAAGTAAAGTGCTAGAGTCACACAGGATAATTGTACCCTGTACTTACTAAGAGTGCAACAATTAGTTCTTGAATTCTCCGTTCATTCATTAAATATAGTTGTTGTTATTACTGCGATTAAAAAACCCCCCCACCTCTCGAAGTTTAAAGTGCTGTCCCAAAGATGTATCAGATGACAAAATGGACAGCACAGTCCTTCTAGAGTTAGCGCTGATGGGGAGCTCCGCACAAACACAATAGGATGGTCAGCACAATCAAAGAAGATGGTCAGCACAATCCAAGATGGTCAACACAATCAAAGGAGGTCAACACAGATGAGGATGGTCAGCACAATCAAAAGAGATGGTCCGCACAGTCAGAGGAGGTCAACACAGACGGAATAAACGATGGTCAACACAATCTATCCAAAATTGGAACAACGAGATGCCAAAAGATGGTAATAATCGGGCCAAAAGATGGTCAACACAGTCTTTCCGGAATTGATGGTTAACAGATGAGATGATGGAAATCTCATGCGATGGCGGTGGATTAGGCGACCCAACTGGTCGGCACACGTAGATGGTCACTTAGTTAGCATAAATCAGTCAGGCAGCTGGACCTCTGAGGGGCCGCTAAAGGTGGCGAACGCCGACCCCCACTTGGAACCCATACGCCGCCAAACCGGAAATGGTGGAAACGCCGACCTGCTGGCAAAGGGGCGCAGGGGGGACGCAGAGGGGATCCGCTGGAAGCCGCTGCAGCTCCGGCGTGAAGATAGTCAGTCTGGGCCTCAAAGCCGCCGCTCCAGCCGCTGCGCTCCAAGATGGCGCCGGAGCCCAAAACGGCAGCCCCAAAGGCCCACACGCCCCAGCAAACCGTCCCGGAGGGCCCAGCCAGTCCGCGGCCGAGAGGGAGCTCCCGGCCAAGTCCAGGCGGCAACAGGCCGCGCTCAACCTCCCCACCCCCGCCGAGAGCCACCAAAGCAGCCCAAGCGCCCGTGTATCCAAGGCCGCGGGCCGCAGCCATGGTCTATATCGCCATGGTCTTGAGGCATTCTCTACTGACGTTTTGCCTGCATCTATGGCAAGCATCCTCAGAGGTAGTGAGGTCTGTTGGAACTAGGAAAAAGGGTTTATATATCTGTGGAATGACCAGGGTGGGACAAAGGACTCTTGTCTGCTGGAGCTAGGTGGGAATGTTTCAACCGACCATCTTGTTTAGCCTACAATGGGCTGACTGTGCCTGGAGCAAACTTTTGTTGAGAGGTGATTAGATGTCCTTGTTTGATTCCTCTCTGTTGTTGTGCTGTTGTGATTGTAGAGAAATTAGCCATAGCAGAGCACCTGAGGAACCAACCTGGGCACAGCATTTTATTTGAGAACACAGAGATGCTGAACCACTCTCACAACCACCATGTCAGGCTACGCAGAGAAGCCATTGAAATCCACAAGCGTGTGGACAATTTCAACAGAAAGGAGGAGACCATGAAAATGAACACAATCTGGCTACCAGTATTAAAAAACTCCAAAATTACAACAGCACAACAACAGAGAGGAAACAAACAAGGACATCTAATCACCCCTCAACAAAAGTTTGCTCCAGGCACTGCCAGGCCATCAAATGCTAATCAAGGTGGTCAGTTGAAACATTCACACCTGGCTCCAGCAGACAAGAGTCCTTTGTCCCACCCTGGTCATTGCACAGATATATAACCCCCTTTTTCCTAGTTCCAACAGACCTCACTCCCTCTGAGGATGCTTGCCATAGATGCAGGCGAAACGTCAGGAGAGAATGCCTCTAGACCATGGCTATATAGCCCAAAAAAACCTACAACAACCCACTAATTAAGGTGGTCAGTGGAAACATTCACACCTGGCTCCAGCAGACAAGAGTCCTTAGTCTCACCCTGGTCATTTCACAGATATATAAACCCAATTTTCCTAGTTCCAACAGACCTCACTCCCTCCGAGGATGCTTGCCTTAGGTGCAGGCAAAACGTCAGGAGAGAATGCCTCTAGACCATGGCCATATAGCCCGAAAAAAACCTACAACAACCCAGTGATTCCGGCCATGAAAGCCTTTGACTATACTAATGTCTAGTTGTCAGGATTAGGGTGACCAGTGTTTGCCAAATGACCCAGCGATAGCTTAAGCTCTCAAGTCAGATCAGAGTTATTGTTTGAGTCCTTTGAATCATCATTTTTCGTCTAGCCACAAAGGGGATGGGGAATGGAGCAAGGGAACATACAAGGAATTCATAGGAAGAGAGGGGGAATCATGCAAGGTCATTGGGGAAGTCACATCAGCCCCCCAAAGTCCATAAAAGTTCATAAAGTTTGGCAAGTTCCTATGAAAGTTCATGGAAAGTCCATAAGAGTTGGACTGTGGGGCCATGGAAAAAGCCTTAGGTTCCCACATGGGGGAGAAATAGGGGATTATGGGATCATTCCAGCCTGGTGTCCTTGAAGAAACTATGAATTCCCTGATTTTGAGCTATCTTTTACAGGGTCCTGGAGGGGGGTCACCTCCGATCTCATGAGGACGCCCCTCCGTCCAGGCACTGGACTGACTCCTGTTGATGCTGCCTGGAATGGCATTGGCATTGTTCACACTGTTGAGCCCTCCAGAGAGAAGCTCTGAGTTCCAGTCTGCCCCAAGGCTTTGGCACTGGACCTGGGCTCCGCTGCACCCCATTGAATGCTGTCCTCCGCCATTAATGCTGTCTCCATCTTTCCTCTCCGTAGGGCTGGCGTCCAGCATCCCGGGATCCGAGGGGTCCTTTGCAGCAGCCCTACCCGGCTGCCTCCCTGGTGACCGCCCTGCGGACTGTGGGTCCCCGCTGCCGGCCCTCTCCTCTTCCTCCTGGCTGCTCCAGCCGTCGGTCCCACTCTTCGTGCCGCTGCATTCGGACTGGAACTCAGCGCAGGCGGCGTGGGGCCCAGCCTGGGAGGCCCACGTCTTTGGGGCTGGCTCCCTCTTTGCCCTGATGGCCTTGCTCTCGCTGCTGGCCTTGCTGGCCCTGCCCTGCCGCTGCCCGGCCTCTTGCAAGCTCCTGGCCCTGCTCCACCTGCTGCTGACCGCTGCTGGCGCAGCCAGGGCCTTGCTCCTCTTTGGTGAGGCCTGCGGGCAGCTGGAGCTCCTGCCGGACATCGCCGTGCGGCTGCTTCACGACCTGGCCCTTCCGTGCCTGACCTCTGCCCTGGCCACAGCCCTCCTGCTGCTCTCCCGCCGCTCCCAGGCCAATTCCTCCTCGGCTCGGGCCGCTCACCGCCTCCGACACCCATGCCTCCTGGCCGGCCTGATGCTGCTCCACTTCTCTGTGGCCACGGGGGCCGTTTTGGCCGCTGACCTGCTCCAGCAGTTCTCCTTCCTGCTCCTGGCGTCCAGGGGCCTCTTTGCCCTCCTGGCCGCCATCCTCTCCTGCGCCCTGCTGGTCTTCCTCTGCGTGGCCAGAGTGGACAAGACCCAAGCCTACGACCTCAAGGCCACCTCGTGTCCCCAGTGTCCCTTCGGTGATGTCCGGCGGTGGAAACGAGCGGCCAGAGTGGCCGTTCTGTCTGCCTTCTTTGGCCTCCTGACCACCGGCTTGCACTCCTACGCCATTCTGCATGCGCTGGGCTTTGGCCTGAACTCCGAGCTCTTCAGCCCCTGGCCTTGGTGGGCCTTGCAGCTGGCCGGACGCCTCTGTGAGGCCGGAATGGGTCTGCCCTTGGCCTGCTTGGGCCTGTGTCCACTCTTCTGCTCGGCCTCCGAACCTTGGTGCCGCTGCTGCCGCTGCTGTTGCAGGGACCGCTCTCCGGACCACGGCGGAGCCAAAGCAGCCAAGGCCCAGCTACTGCCCAACAACTTCCAGTGGTCACTCTCCCAACACGAGAAGCTGGTCATCTGCGACACCGTCATCGCCCGCAGCGAGTCGGACTACCTGCCGCTCTACACAGTGTCTGATGCCACTCCGGACACCAGCCTCGACCCCACGGTCGACTTCCGCCCTCCGTCGCCCATTGACCTCCGGCGGAGCATCGACGAAGCCTTGTGCGGCGAGGGCTTCTTCCCGGAGGGGGGTCCGCTCTACGCCCCCAGCACCTTCTCCCTCTGCTTGACCTCCATGGGCAGCGGCCCCTCCCGGGTGTCCTCCTGCCTGGAGCTGGAGCCTTCCACCACAACCGTGGCTGCAGGGGGCTCCTCGGTGACCCTCAGTGTGCCGGACACTCCGATGTCCTCCCCAGGGCCCTGGAGGGGGGCCAGCACCGCCTCCATTGCCAGCAGCAGCGGCAATGGGTCTCCTTGCAAGCACTGCTCCACCGCCGAGGAGGAAGACCCCTCCTCCTCCTTGCCCGTGGCCCCCGACCCATCTAACGAGGAGAGCCCCCCACGGTCCCCCCCTCCGCCCGGCCGGCAGTTCTGGGTGCTGACCCCTGTCTCCCAGCACTCTCTGGCATCCATGGCGGAGGGTCAGCCGGCGGTGGACACGGCCCTCCTGCAGAAGGAGTTCATGGCCGTCTGCCGCCAGATCGACACCCTCAGCGTCAGCAGTGAGACCATCGACTTGTAGCCCCGAATGGACCCCGGGGACCCCCGTTTTCCCGCATCCTCCTCTTCCAGGCATGTGCAATCGTGACTTCTGGGAGGGGACATTGACTTGCTCCCTTGTGGGTCTCCCGGGCTGGACCATCGGAGGATGGACATCTTTGGTGGCAGATTGCAGAGGACCATCATATCAGCATGTTGGGAGGGTCACCAAAGGTCATGCAGTCCAACTCTCTTCCCAAAGGCCGTGCAGTCCTGATTCTGGGAGGGGACATTGACTTGCTCCCTTGTGGGTCTCCCGGGCTGGACCATCGGGGGATGGACATCTTTGGTGGCAGATTGCAGAGGACCATCATATCGGCATGTTGGGAGGGTCACCAAAGGTCATACAGTCCAACTCTCTTCCCAAAGGCCGTGCAGTCCTGATTCCCAAAGGTCCTGATTCCCAACAGGGTTGGAGATGCTCTCCTTCATGGCCTCATGGGACACCATTGAATCATGGGCTCTGAAGGGTCACCCAAGGCCATCTAGTCCATCCTGTGCAATCTTGGGACTGCTGCCTCTTGGTCCTGTGGAACAATGCCCAGCCCCACTGTGGTCTGGACCTTTGAGGAGTACAGATGTTCCTGACTTTGCAACAACCTTTCTGCAGGAACATGGGATTTGCTTATTTGATAGGTTGGTGGGCCATTTGACGGCAAAGAAAACCATAGAATGACCAGATTGGAAGAGGCACCAAAGGCCATCTAGTCCAACCTCCTTCCAGGCATGTGCAATCTCAGTGTTGGGCTGTTGGAGGCATTGACCTTTTAGCAATCCACGAGGTTCTACTTTTTGATGCATTGGTGAGGGATGTGGTGGCAGAGAAGACCATTGAAACAGAGACTGAGAAGGGACACCAAAGGCCATCTAGTCCATCTTGTGCAATCTTGGAGCTCCATGGAGCAATGCTCAACCACCTTTGGGCCATTAAGAGGCATAAGGACCTCCACTTTGTGTGGACCTCTTTTGCAGAGTCGTGGGGTTCTGACCATCGAATCATGGAGTCAGAAGGGACACCAAAGGCTATCTAGTCCATCTTGTGCAATCTTGGGGCTCCATGGAGCAATGCTCAACCGCCCTTGGGCCATTAAGAGGCATAAGGACTCCCACTTTGTCTGGACCTCTTTTTGCAGGGTCGTGGGTTCTGACCATCGAATCATGAAGTCTGAAGGGACACCAAAGGCCATATAGTCCATCTTGTACAATCTTGGGGCTCCATGGAGCAATACTTAACCACCCTTGGGCCATTAAGAGGCATAAGGACCTCTACTTTGTCTGGACCTCTTTTGCAGAGGTGTGGGGTTCTGACCATCGAATCATGGAGTCAGAAGGGACATTAAAGGCCATCTGTCCCAACCCCCTTCAATGCGCATTCGATCTCAGCATTGGGCCATGGAGTGGGGCAGGGGGAAACTTTGTATTGACCTTTTTGCAGGGCTATGGGGTTCTCCTTTTTGGTGCATTGGTGAGGGGTGTGCTGGCAGAGAAGACCATCAAACCATGAAGTTAGAAGGGACACCAAAGCCCATTGTGGGGTGCAGCCCCCCTTCCCATTTGCACTGATCTTTATGCAGGTCCATGGGGTTCTGCTTTAGGGTGGGTTGATGAGGAAGAATGTCCTGGTGAAGGTGGCTATGGAGTTGCAATTTGGAAGGGACCCCCAGAGGGCATCTAGTCCAACCCCCTAAGGAAAGATAACTCAAGCCCATGATCTGAGCTCGGTTGAAAGACCCCCGAGTGCCGGTCTGCCCTGAAGGACAGCCTTGACAACATGGAGAGCTCTCCCCTCACCCTCCCAGCAGCTGCCCCACAAACTGGCTCTCCCTTTCCCTTTGCTCCATTGTGATGATGGCCTCCCTTGCCTTAGAAGGAGCCCCCTTCCTCCAGCCCCGTTGGCCCCCCATCCCTGACCCCGTCTTCCGCTTGAAAAAGGATTCCCTGTTGCGTAGCAGCAAACGAGGCCCCGACTGTGTTGTGTGTTACTGAATCCAAAGCGAAGGGAAGCGGTGTGTGGAAACTCCCCTCCAGAAGGGGGGAGGGGACAGTGGGAGGTGAGGCTTGGCACCCCTAAGTGGTCAATAAAAGGATTTTATGGAAAGGTGCATCTGAGTGTCATATTTGGGGGCCGGGGGGCTTTGCACGATCAGGAGACCCTCGTTTCCAAAACAGGTGCCATGAATAAGCAAGACAGAGATAGGAGATAGACACATCCCGATTCTAGGTGTTGCAACTCAGAGTAGGCTTCACCTTGCTCCCAAACACCACCACACAAGAGCTGTAGATTTTGTAGTTTATTGAGGAAAAATCCAAGTCAAAGCATAGAATAAGCAATGCAAAGTTGCAAAGACAAAGGTTAAATGCTAAACACAGTTCCAAAGGTCCTCAGGTAAGAACATAAAACATCATCCTTTAAGCAATGGTCAAACAAGAGCCCATGGTAAAAGCAGTGAAACACAAGCCCCAAGAATCAGGATTCAGGAAGCCCAAAGCGTGCTGCTTCAGAGCCAAGGTTATTCCTTAGAAGCTTTCATGCTAAAAGCCACGTTGAACTGACACCTTCCCTTTGTTAACCAGAAGCCTAAATACCTTTTGCCAACATGAAAACATCACGCTTTTGCCAACATGAAAGCATTACGGTGACCTTTCACCAACCTGGCTTCTTTCTTGCTGGCTAACCGTGAACTCCTCCTGACCCGCCAATCTAAATGTTCTTGCCTGCTCATTAAATCACTATCAATGCTCTCTTCTCTATCAGTATCAGCGTGAGAAGGCTGAGCAAGTGAAGACCTCTGCACCTGGTCGTTATCTAATTCGCTGGCATTCTTTTCCCATGAGAACTGACTTGTTGACTCCTCTGGTGCACTGTCTGCAAGAGGCACAGAAAAAGGCATAGGAACAGGCCCAGAAATCTGAATCCCATCATCCTCTTCATCAGGGAACATTTCAGGCTCACAAGAGGGTTCCGTTTCAGGCTCAGAATCAAGCTGAGCCACAACACTAGCTACACTGGGTATACAAATGAAGGGATAATTTACATCTCACACGGCATTCACACACACGTAAGCATTCACTCCTCATCATGCATACATTACCATCTCTTCATCCTTCTGGAAAAGTCCTCCTGCATGACAGCCAGACTGCATGCTCAGCAAATCTGCCATTCTGCAAATGCACCATCTCCCTCCATCCCTGGGAGAAGATGGCAGGTGAACCAGATTCCTCAGGTCTGCCACAATTTGGGAATAGTCAAGTGTCTCTTATATAGCAATATTTCTTGCTGATGTTGATCTGAAAGTTGTAAATGAATGACAGGCAAATAAAACATCTTGACTGTTGCGCTCCAGAAGAGGAATTACCCTCACCACACGTTGAGTAGGAAAACAATCATTTTTTAATTGAAGATAAGTAAAAACTGTTAGGGTTTAGCGGAAGTATTGCACAGGCTTGGTAGAAATCATGGACTCTGGTTACAAAGCAGGTTCCATTTACTTAAAGCAATTCAAAACACATCAATTTCAGTAAGCGACAAGACATGAAAACAGAAAAAAGGAAGCAGAAGTGTAAACAATCCTGCAGCTGCTTGGCAGATATCAGAGACTCCCTAATTTCTCTCACAACTCAGCTCAGAGAGTATCTCAGGGCTACTATCTCACAGCCTCAAACATAAACATACATCACAGCAATACAATCTTGTGGCATCCATATTACAACTACATGAAATTACATTTAAAACACATTACATACTTTAACATATTCTGACAAAAACAGCACGGTAGAAATATGCTTCCAGAAAATAGATAAGTCCAATAAGATAGGAAGATAAGCAGGTACAAAGTATTCCAAGGCAGGGTTCAGCAAAGTTCAAAAACAAAATCCAGACTTTTGTAATCAGATCCAAAGAGCCAGGAAAACATTGATCCACAGCCTGAGTATATAATCCCAAGAGGCAAAGAGTCAAGCCATGAACAAGAAATCCTTGACATGAATCTTCCAAGCAAGGCTTCCATAGAACAAGAGCAAGAGCTTAGCTGGATTCTGAAACGTTGCTTCATCTAACTATTGTTTCCCTGGTGAGAACTTTATATCCCAACACCCAGAAATTGGTTTCGCTTTCCCTGACTGCCTTTCACCCTTATCTCTCGAAGCCTAGAGGACTGGCGAAGGCCCTGGCTGAGCTGTCTGTTTTGGCTAAATTCCAGCCGTCTGCCTATGTGCTCGTTATCTCTCTGCTCATTAATTTTTCCAGGTGTCAAATTGTCAACAGTGGAGTTAACAGACAATGCAGCTCTATTTAATGAAACTTTAACAGTGCACTATCTACCTAACGGAATTTGCATCAGAACTTAGGGTGAAAGGGAGCCCCTGGTGATATCGAGCTAGAATTTGGAGGCTCCTGCCCAGGAAAGAGGAGCCCTTAGACCCACCAAAGAGAGTCCGAAACCCTTGGCAAGTGAAAGAGGAGAAAGGCCCAGAATTTTCCCTGATTTTTCCCAAATAAATCTCACCAAGGTTGAAGAAAAGCCATCGAGGTTTATTTAGCGATCCAGCTGAAAAGGATGCAGAGCTGCGATCATTCACCAGCAGAGCATAAAGAAATACATTTGATACAGCCATATTTATAGTAAATTCAGAGTTGCAGAGTTCAAACTTCCCGCCCCGGCCTCCCTGCTGCCCTCCACTGTGATTGGACAATGGGCAAACAGCTGGGAGGCGGCCCTCCCGCCCCGGCGCCCCTGGACCTATCAGGAAGCTCCAGCGGTCCACAGGGTCCAATGGGGAGGCTCCTGCTGCCTAGCGGCGGCTGCAAATCAGGAGAGAGGAAGGTGGGATAATAGAACACAAAGGAATCTATGAATGAAGTCTAAAAAAATGCCATGTGGCCTGCGAGACAAAGGGGGAGTCTCAAGCAATATATATATAGGGTTGATGTTGCAGGAACCATATGCTTATAATTCATAACAGGAAAGGTCTAAAGGATTTCACTGAGCCAGTCAAGGGAGTCCTGCAGACTTGTCCTTGGCCCTTGGAAAAACTGTAAGTTACTATCCCTTATTTGGGGGGGGGGGCGGACATGCTTGGCTTCATTGGGGTTCACTGGGGGGGGTCCTTCTGGGCATGTTGAAGGGTCCTCTATATGGACAGGTGTGCCAGAAGGGCTCCCAGGTGTGAGCCAAGCCCTTCTTCGTGTGGGGAGAGACCCATGCCTTCTTTGCCCTCCAGACTGGCCTTTCCCCCTCCTGCCCCCTCCTCAAAGCCACCCGACTGCAATCAGTGCTAGATGCCGATGGATCAATGCGACCTTGCCAACCCAGATTCCCCATTTCGAGGCTGGAGGGGCCTAGCAGGGAACTAGGCTGGCCTCTCTCTGCCCGGCTGCACACATTAAACGAGGGCTGCAGAAGCGCAACAATATGGTTGGAGATCACAGAATTGGGGAGCGAGGAGAGCAATGGGGCAGGGATGGACCCCAGAGAGTCACAAAACTGAAACAAGACTCCAAGGGCCATCTCTTGCGATCTATTCTGGTCCTGCAGAGCATATGCAGAGGACACTGTCTTAATGACAGGAAAGGCCCACAATGTTGTTGGTTTTTAATTAATTTTTAATGCATACAGATTAAAACAAAACCTATATATAAAAAACCAAAAACAATAAGCAGTCATGAAGTTGCAAAGTCAATTAGTGAGGGTATCAGCATAGAGGTAGCCTGGCTTCTATTGCCTGGAGACATCCTCTGTTTAGGAGGTGTTCCACCTTTATGCAGATCCCCTCACTGATCGACTTGGCAGCTTCATACTATTCAAGCTTGCTAATGGCAACATTCACACCTGGTTCAAACAGAACAAGAGTTCTCCCTGGACATTGCTCCACAAACCTCTGAAGATGCCACAGATGGAGTGAAATGTCAGAAGAGAATGCTTCTGGAACATGGCCACACAGCCCGGAAAACTCACAGCAACCTAGTGATTCTGGCCATGAAAGCCTTTGACAGCACAACTGGCGCATCCTTTCTCACATAATAATGACACACTTCTAGTCCAAAAAACAGTGATGGAAGTTGGGCCTCCGAACTGAGGAGGAAGCCTGGGAGTTGCAGTTTTGCAAGTCTTTCCATGCCAGAG